CGGGTCTCCCTCTCCCCCCCCACCCCAGCAATTACCAGCTCTGGCTGGGCCGCCACAGCCTGTTTGAGCAGGAAGACACAGCGCAGTTTGTTCGGGTCAATGAGAGCTTCCCACATCCTCAGTTCAACCTGAGCCTTCTGAAGAACCACACCATCCGTCCGGAGGAAGACTACAGCTACGACCTCATGCTGCTCCACCTGGAAGAGCCTGCCCAGATCACGGACGCCGTGAAGGTCCTGGACCTGCCCACCCAGGAACCCCAGCTAGGCAGCATCTGCTATGCTTCTGGCTGGGGCAGCATCGAACCAGATAAGTGTATGGCAGGGCCAGCCCATGCAGCCCGGAGCCCGGACCCCGGGTCTTAGGGAGGAGGAGCTGGGCACCCGGACTCCGGGACTGAGGGAGGAGGGGATGGGGAGCCGGGATGGGGAGCCAGGCTGGGTCGGCCACAGCTGTGTTTCTCCCTGGCCCGTAGTTGACTTCCCAGACGAGCTCCATTGTGTGGACCTTGAACTGCTGTCCAACGATCTGTGTGCCAAAGCCCACCCCCAGAAGGTGACGGACCTCATGTTGTGTGCTGGACACTTGGAGGGTGGCAAGGACACCTGTGTGGTGAGTCAGCCTGTCCCCCTCCCCCAGTGCTTTGGCTCCCTGCCCTCCCTTTCCTTTTGACGCTCCCGTCCAGATGTCCCGTGCATGGCCTTCCTCGATGCCGTTGGTCCCCCGTTACTCCCTCTGACACATATTTACTGTCGAGGCAGAGAAAGCTACTTGGGGGGAGGGGTGACATCCACACTGAGCCCTGAGGGTAGGGGGCTCCTGCAGGTGGATCCCGCTCCTCTTGCCTGCTGACCAGTCTGCAGGGACCGTCCCCCTGGACCCTTGTCCCCCTGCACAGGAACTGGACACCCCAGCCCCATTCACTAGAACTCAAGCCACTGTCCCTTCTGTTGGGAATTCCACCCACCTCCTTCTGGGAGTGGGCTGGGGGGAGTCACTGCCATCTGGGAGCCCAGGTCTGGGAGCTGGGGCTCCCCAGGCAGAGCGGGGGGGCTCGCTGACCTCTCCCTCTCTCGCCATGGCGCTGCAGGGTGACTCGGGGGGCCCGCTGATCTGCGATGGTGTGCTGCAGGGAATCACGTCGTGGGGCCACACCCCGTGTGGCCAACGCAACAGGCCCGGCGTCTTCGTTAAACTGCTGGCCTTCGTGGATTGGGTCAAGGAGACCATGGCGGCCAACTCCTGAAGAATGCCCCGGCCTTGTCCCCGAGCCCCAGTAAAACCAGACACGCATCAAGTTCGCGTCAAGTTCGCGTCAAGTTCTGGCGCCAGGCGGGAGCCGCCCCCGCCCACCCCGTCTCGCGGTGGGAGGTCCGCAGCGATGGGCGGGAGGGAAGGAGGCACTTGAGCCTGGGTCGCACGCTGGACCCGGCCCCCCCTAAGGCAGAGGACGCGGCGGAGGGCCAGACTCAGACCCGGACTCGAGAGGCTGGGTGGCGCCCACGTTTTATTGTGGCGGAGGGCAAAGAAAGGGGACCGAGGGTTATCATTGCAAGCCGCGCCTTCCTGGGGAGGGGCAGCGTGGTGTCCGCCCCGGGGCAAGACTGGACATCCAGGGGCAGGGACTTCTGAGCGTGGCCGGCAAAGATTCGACACCTGGAGGCGGGGCCTAGATAGGCTTGGGGCGGGGCCGCGCCAGGTCCCCGGACAGGGCCACCGGCCCTGGTCACACTGCTCCGGCTGCGCGCAGAACGGGAGGGGCGGTGTCGGACTTCGGGGTGGGGCTGGGGCGAAGACCGGGTGGGGTGAAGACGCAGTGGGAGGGAGCAGAGCCGCGAGGGGCGGGCCCCAGCTCGAGGGGCGGGGCTTTGTCCCCTGTCCTGCGGGGCGTGGCCTATTCTTGGGGCGTGGGGCCTGTCTAAGTTCAGGCACGTGACCAGGAGAAGGGGCACGGGCCGCACACCTGGCGCGGTTACCGGTCAGCGTCCTGAGAAGCAATTGCTTAGAGAGGCGCGGCCCGAGGTCCCTAAGGCGCTAGAGATCTGCATCCAACTGCCCGCGGGACTCGTTCTTCAAAGATTTTTGCTGCACGGCCCACTGGCGATAGATGGCCTGCATCTCGAAGGACACTGACTTTTTGCTCCTCATGCCCATGTGGTTTAAGTAAC